AGGGGCCAGGGCCTCTCAGGGCCCAAATGGTTTTTAATATTCCCAGAGGCCTTCGGCCGATCCGCCTGACCCCCCCCCGCCTTCGGGTTCCAGGGCCTCTCAGGGCCCAAGGTTTTCTTAATATTCTCCAGAGGCCTTCGGCCGATCCGCCTGACCCACCCCCCCTTTGGGTTCCAGGGCCTCTCAGGGCCCAAGGGGTTCTAATTTTCAGAAGCCTTCGGCCGATCCGCCTGACTCTCCCCCCCTCCCTTGGGGCCCAGGGGCTCTCAGGGTCTCTCAGGGCCGCGCGCAACCATTGAAAAAACTAGCCAGGACCATTGGCGCTGCCATAATCGCCTTCGGGTTGTCCAGAAGTTACATGGGTCGAGGGTTACCTGTCTGAAACAGACGTTCGGGCGCGCGCGCCTCATGCGTCAGTACTCACGAATCGTTTTCACACGTAGGTAACACAAATCTACAATTTTATGTTATTCCACGGGTTTGGTAAAAACACCAAAACTCAGATCTTAAATTCATTATCATGTTACATCATCATCATCATATACAACTTAGATCTAAATTTAAGATCTTGAAGACCTCTGGGTTCGGCTTCAAGGAGAAGAAGGATCAGAAGGGGGTCGGACCTGCCGGGCCTGCGTGTCCACGCGGCGACGGGCGCGACCAGAGTGCTCGAGGGTCGTCGTCGTCGTCGTGCCGCTCATCAGCTCCCGGTTGCAGCGGGAGCTGTAGCAGCGTTGGCGCTCTCGAATTCGATTCCGTTCGATCTGAATGCGCGGTTAGGGGATATCAACAACCCTCCCCGGAGGGCTGCGCAGTGAGCTCGAAGGAGGAGGTGGGCTCGGCAGCGAGCGGTGGGAGTCTCACATTGTGACGTTTTGTCTTGGAACGTGCGCGGCGTCGCGAAGGACTGTTTGAGCAGCGCCTTAGAAACGCTATGCATGGAAGTCAGTTGGGTCGTCTTGTTGCGCATGAGCTGTCAGCAGCACGTAAGACGTACCCCGAGTTGGTCGACGACCGCCGGGTATTTTGTCAACTCTCCAGTGGGGGGTTCCGGCAGCCCGGCATCGTCGTTCGCGCGGACGCCGTGGGCATGATCGTGGGGGGGGGGCCGATCTACGGAGCTCGCTCTCTAGGTATTCTCTTTCATCTTCCTGTGCGTGGGCGTATGTTTCTAGTTTCGGGGCATTTGGACCCTTCGGAGAGCAGGCCAAAGTATTTCGATTCTCTAGATGATTTGACGTTTGTGTTTAATGGAGCGCCGAATGACGTGGGGATCATATGTGGTGTGGACGGTAATTGTAGTCTTCGTGGGGTTGATCCGTCTGGTCGCCTGGTTGGGGCTTGCGCTGCGGACGACGGGGGTCCAGCAATCGATCTCGATTTTGATGCAGAGTGGAAGGCGCGATTACTTCATCGATTCCTTGTGCAGCACTTTCTGTTTGCAGAAAACGCAATGGAAAGATGTTGTTCTGGTTATTCTATTTGTTTCGACAATTTCAAACGTCGGCCGAAGCAGATCGATTTCACCCTTGCGCGTGTGTCGAAACATCGATTCGACAAGTGTCAGGCCACCGACTCCGAGGCCACGACATCTGATCATATACCCGCTCTATTGCAGCTCTCCATTGGTCGCGTCGGAGATTTGAAAGCGGCGGCGGCGAAGACGGCAGCAGAGACATATATGGTTCAAAAGCTTGTTGGGTGGATGCGCCACGACCGAGCCGAGATGGGGGGCCTTGTAGACGAGGCGCTTGAATTACAGGCTCCGCTACGAGAGCCTGAATTGCATGGAGATGATGTCTTTGGGATCTATTCGGGCGGCTCGTTCGTCGACGCGCGCGCCGACCGATTCCGGCGCAAGCGCCGACGCCTTCAGCACAGGCGCGCTCAGTGTGGTTATGGTTTTGCCGTGCGTACTTCTTCCGAGTCTTCGTCCAAAGATGGGCCGGTCGTGCAACGTTGTGGACCAGTGCGCATCGCCGAAGAATCCGACTCGTTCTTGGGTGCCGTCCGGCGCGCAAGCGGGGTGGCTGAATTCACAGGTGCTAGTGAAGTTTGTCGTTGGCTGTTGCAACAAGCAAGTTTGCCCTTGCAGGGGGCCCCCGTGCCTCGTGGGAGTCGCGTTCAAATTTTCTTCGACGCGTTGTATGTGATTGGAGTTATTGAGGGGAAGTTCAAATTGCACCACAATGTTGTTCGTGCAATCTTGCTGCAGACGCTTTGGGCGGATATTCGGGTCGTTTACGTTGTCGGAGCGCCGGCCTGGCGACGAGGACATGTTGGGTGTAATGGCAATGGGCGTGCAGACTTCTTGGCCGAGATCGGGGGCGCGGACGGTGAACGCTTTCTTGGTAAGTCTGAACATCGAGGTTTCTATTTAGATGTATGGCCACAGGAACGTTTTCGAACTCGTCTTGAAGCCGTGCCGATTCCAGAGGGTGAGTTTGCTTGAGCGCCTCGGGTGCCCCGGATTGCCGAGGCAGCGCCAGTCCGACCTTGCAGGCGAAGTCGGCGCGCCTCGCTGGAGGTCCGCATGGGCGTTGAGGGCGAGAAGTTTGCTACAGACCGCGCGCGCGTGGACCGAGGCGGGGCGCCGTTGCCCACGCTGCGGCAAATCGCGGAAATCATCGCCAAGGCGGCCTCGCAGACGGGGGCTCCAAGGCGTCGATCGCGTCGTGAGCCCCATGATCCAGACATGTTGGTCAGGTTGCGAGCTTTGCAAAACCTCAGACATGCCGCCCCACCCCCTTCCTATCGACATGTTTTCGCGGCGGCGGCGAACAGGATTCGAAGGGAGATGTCGCCAGATCGCTTTATGAAGGCATGTGGACAAATGCTGCAGCATGCAACACGAGGGGGGCGCCGGGGACAGAGGCTGAAGCATGGAGCACGAGCATGAAGCGTCATTGCACTCAGGCCATGAGCCTCCGGAGTGGATTCATCGACGGTGGTCGCATGAGGACCTCGAGGCCGTAGGGGGTGTCGCGGGCTTCAACATCCGTGAATTGACAACGAGACTCAAGCATGACAAAACATGTTCACGAGAGGATCTCCTCGTTTCGGAGATGTTGCAGGCGACGCCTGAGCAGGCTTTGGACGTGCTGGCAGAGTGTTTCGTTATACTTTTTTCTGAACCATGCGGCGACTGACGAGGATGATTTGTTTGACTTTCACGAAATCATATTGCTGGAGAAGCTTACCAGTCCCGAGTTTTTTTTTTTGTTGTTTTTTTTTTTGTGTATGTATATATATATAAATAAAAAAAAACACTTGGCCGGCGCGCGCGATATACCGTTGGGGGGCCATCAGTTTGCTTATCGCAAGTCTTTTCAATCAAATGAAATACAATTTATGCTTTGGATGTTGTGTGAGAAGGCGGCTGAGTTCAACAATCCGTTGTTTCTGTTCGCGGTGGTTCATGACGAATATGTCGCAGGACCACAGCAGGCAGGCGTTGCTCGAAACCTTATTGCGGCGTGTTTGCGGGAAGTGCGACGGGCGCTGAGCCGAGTGAGGCTGCCGGGAAAACCTTTGTCCGAACCATTCCGCCGTGCCAGGTTTATTTTCTAAGGGGATCTGGAACCTCCAGTGGATTTCAACCATGTCCTTCAGCAGCGAGTTGTGCTTCTTTTCTTGCGGGACTGCAGCAGGTGCCGATCGGGCGTGGATTTGTCTCGCGAGGATGTGGCCGTTCTTCGAGAGAGTCGTAGCGGCGAGCCTGCCCCAACCAGAGCCATGCAGGGAACGGAAAGATCGCCTATTCTTCCGTTTGCGGACAACTATTGGCTATTGGCGCGCAGTGGAAACCAACTTCGTCTCATGGCGGGTCGTTGGCGCGGGCTGATTGCACAGGCCGGCTCTAGAGTGGACCTCCAGGATTGCTTGCGGAGCGCGACTCATGCATCGCAGGGGCCGTTGTCAATCAAGAACTTGTGGGCGAATTGTGGGAGCGAGCCCGGAGAGATTGTGATGAAACACAAGCAGAAGTACGAGGGCATTCGTATTCTTGGAACCATGTTTACGGCAAGCGACGATTGCACTCAGGATATTGAAAATCGCATCGCCCGGGCGTGGGCAGCTTTTCGCAAGTACTAAGACATTATTGCATCAAAGTGTGGTTCCTTGAAGCAGCGGCTTTTGGCTTTGAATCGCTATGTGTTGCCATGTCTCTTGTGCAATATCGGGATCCTGAACTTAACGCAGCGGCACCTACAGCAGTTCCGTGCCACCGAAGATGCCATGCAGCGACGGGTCGTGCGCTTCAAGGTACCCGGCGAGTGGAGAGAGTGGGGGGACGAGACAGGAGACTATTTGGCAGTATGTCATGCGCGTCCACATCGTTACAGAGCCAAATGCAATCTGGAATGTTGGCACGTTAGTGCTCTAGGGCGTGTTTTCGATTGGGCTGGTCATGTTGGATGATTTTCACATTGGGCCCCGGAGCGGCTCGCTTACAAATCGCTCTTGCTTCGCGGCGCGGCATACCTGCAGACGCTGGAATACATGCTCGGTCAGCAAGCACACGGTCGCAAGTTCAAGGTGTGGCGTTGGGAACAGCAATTTGCCAGAGAGTTTGGCCGGGATTGGATGCATCTCGCGCTGGACAGCGAAAGCTGGGCTACGTTAGAATCTTCATGGGTTGAGCGCCGGACAAGTTGGCACAAACAGTAGTTTTATCCCTGAGCGTTTCTAGTCTCACTGCCAGGTCTCCCTGAGCTTGCCAAGGCAGCGCCAAATAGGTCAAAATAGGTCGTCGTCGTTGTCGTCCGTCGTCGTCGTCGTTGTCGTCGTTGTCGTCGTCCGTCGTCGTCGTCGTCGTCGTCGTCGTCGTCGACGTCCTTCGTCGTCGTCCGTCGTCGTCGTCGACGTTCTTCTTCGTCGTCGTCGTCGGTCCTCCGTCGTCGTCGTCGTCGTCCGTCGTCGTCATCGTCCTCGTCGTCGTCCTCGTCTTCGTCCTCGTCCTCGTGGTTGGCTTCCTCCCGCATGGGCCCGCCGAGGAGGCCGGGGCGGCCGAGGGCGGCGGCGCCGGCGGGGACAGGAACCGGTGGTTGAAAGATGGGGTCCTGAGGGATGGGGTCCTGAGGGAAGGGGTGCCTCAAACAATGTAGATTCACCCTTGGGTCCTTTCTTATCCTCAGGACCCCCAGTCCTCAGGACCCCATCTTTGAACCATCGAGAGGAACGCCTCCGAGGAGGAGTGGTTGCCCCCAGACGATAACGAGAGGCCGGCCGCCCACGTCCGCGGCCAGAGGCTTGGGGGCCCTTTTTGGGGGCGGCGGGCGCCGCCTGCGTGGGCGCCTCCCGGAGGTAACCGTCGGCGCGCACATGGAGGGGGCTCGTCGATCCCGGCTGTTCCTCCCCACCTCGGTGCACCCCCCCGTTCCGCGTCGGCCGCGGTGTGTTTCCCCTCGAGTCCCAGCCTTCCTGGCTCCCCCTTGCTGCCCTTCCGCTGGCGAGGGCGGGGTCTCAGAGGGTGTGGGCCTTGTTCAAGGGGCCCAGAGGCTCCTGAGGAGCTTTTTCTTAAAAGTTCAGATAGTTTCTGAGCAGGCCCCTGTCTTCTGGGAAGGCCCCTCACTCCTTGGCAGGCCGCCTCCTTCGCCCCAATGGCCTCCAGAGCACTTCTCGTGGGGCCCAGTTCGTTCCCGATTTGCAGGCGTCGACTTGTGGGAAGGATAGGGATCAGGGGAAGGGAAAGGAGGAGAGGGCGGAAGAGGCGGAGGAAGAGGAGGAGGCGGAGAAAGCGGAGGAGGAGGAGGAGGAGGTGGACCAGTGTAAACCCAAGACTCTTCAACGATGTTGCAATCAACCCTCCCTCCAAGTTCCCTCTTCATAACCCCCTACAAGGAGTCATACACACTGCGGGAAGGGCCCCGTTGGAAGACGAACGTGTGCAAATCCTGTACCGTGCCAGACATAGTACCATTCTTGGGAATTCGATGCTGCGAATCAACCTTACTGTTGCGTCTTGACAATCCTGAGTCGTGCCATGCCATCATTCGCCACGAATCAACGTAAGTGTTGCGCCCTGACAGTCCTACACTTCCCCGAAGCACCAGTTCTGGGAAGTGAACCATGAGAACCCTTGAAACCTTTCAATTTAAAACGAATGTGCACGGCGCTACGGCGATAGCCACACTTTGAAAATTGGCCGCCATCCATCCGTGAAGCTCTTGCATTTTCAGACGAGTGTGCGCGACGCTAGGGCGAGAGCCATACTTTGAAAACGGGCCGCCCTCCATCCGTGAAGCTCATGCAATTTTTTTCGACGAATGCGCGCGGTGCTCAGGCGAGAGCCACATTGTGAAAACGGGCCGCCTTCAATCTGTCAAGCCCTAGCAAATTTGGAAGCCGAGTGTGCGCGCTCTAATACAAGAGCCACACTTCGAAACCGAGTCTCCCTTCATCCGTGAAACAATGTGCGCAGCGCCAGGGCGAGAGCCACACTTTGAAAACGGCCCCCCCCTCCATCAGTGAACGTCAAGCAGTTTTTTCTTACGAAAGTGCGCGGCGCTCATGCGAGAGCCACATTTTGGAACGGGACCGCCCTCCATTTGTAAGAACGTTGCAACTTTTCAAGCTTGAGGATCACAGTTGGTGAGGAAGTCTTAGGCGAAACGCCTGGCCCGCCCTTCCGAGCGGCCTCGGGGTGCGACAGGGAGGAGTTATTCATAAGGAAAAGGAATGGAGGAGCGGGAAGGAAGGAGCGTGCTGGTCTGCTGTCCGTACGTGCCGAGAATTGCGGTTCGCTCGCATCCCGTTTAGGAGTGTGTGTTCGCAGTCGGAGGTTGCCCCTGGTGAGCCAGGAAACCAGTTTCGGTTCGCGTCGTGCGTGCGGACGAGGCGAAGCTGCGCGGGGGCTACGATATGTCGGCCGAGGCCCGCGGCCCGCGGCCGAGGACCAAGGTGGGGAACAAGTTTACATGCGGTCTACGCGGCATCCTGAGGTTGTCTCGTGGGCTGTTCCAAGGATTGACTTTGCAACTGTCTCTCCATCAGTGGCCTGTAGGCACTTCATTGTCCAAACTGGCAGCCCAAACGAAGTACGGCTTCGATGGATTGCGCGCGTCACTGACCATGAGCATTGCACAACTGAGGTGAGACCCGACGCCCGCACATACGACGAGCGCACACGCAGAATCAAGTATCCCAGTACGGAGATGTTGCTATCATTGGCAAGAATCTGCTTGTAGCATGGACCAGAGAGGAGGATAGAACAAGAGGGATGATTCGCCTGCGGCACCGCGCGCGCTCACACACCATGCCACGGCCGATCAATGAACGAGGAAGATGTGGCATCAAGCTTTCGATCATTGCCATGGCACTTTGTATCCTGATCAGAAGTAAAGTTAAAGGCATCGTTCACTTACCAAACCCAGTCTGAGAGATCAAACAACAGAAATGACACCCATGCGTGCACCGACATCATCACTTTCTTTATCAAGGGTGGCTGGAGTCCTACGGCACCCAGCTCCGCAAGCTTGAAGCACAGCGTCGACCTCAAATGATGTCCGTGCCTGCAGTGCGATCGATCACTCTGACCAAATGCCCGATCACTCTTCTGAACTGGTGAAGGGCCGCACGTACTTGCGCAGATGACCCTGACAAGTTAGGAACCACCCTGCACTGTACATAGTTCACAGCTTAGCAAACAGCCACGAGCAGAACGTGGCAGTGATGCTGCCTGAACGAGATGAGTGGCCGACACTTCAATTCATCCCACGCCGAATGTATATATATATATATATATATATATATAGAATCAACTCTTTGCTCTAAGGCGCAGAGACCAAATTGCAAATACATGGATCGGACTCCTGTGCAGGTGGTAGAAATACATGCGAATCATCTTGCGACCAAAGAGTTCTTGATCATACTGGCACCAATCTTCGTACCGCACCCAGTCGATACCCTCCGACTCCACAAGTTTGAGGTCTGCGCGGCTGTGCGTCATGGGGCAACAGAGGGTCATCTCCTGACTTCCCTTGTCAACGCCGACACACGCAAACGTTGCCAAAACATGTTTCACACGCCGGGCTACTGCTACAGCGGAGACCCATGCCAAGAGACTCCGTGCTTGCCTCCAGGGTGCTCTGGGTTTCTTGGGTTTCGATGGTTTTGCGACGGAAAGCGTGACGTTCGCACACCAAACATCAATGTACGTCCTGGGGTCTCAGGGTTGGGTTTCTTGTGGAAGGTTTCGTGTGGACTAGCCTCCACTGTACTGGTGGTATGCTTGGGTAGCGGCCAAGAAGCTCATGGACACGAGATCGCAAATCATCATGTTGACGCCGCTGGCATTGCCTTTGATGCCCGACGGCAGAAACATTCCAAATTCGACGATCCGATCAATACCTCGGCCACGATTGTGCAAAGGCAGCTGCACGATCGTACAAACACATGCCCATCAACTTTCTGCAGCCCCGTGATATCTTGCCTGCAGCACGGACTCCCAACCGATTTCGACGGCTCAGCGAGGATTCGCCGTGAGGTTTTGCAATCATCAAATATGTTTGGACAGGTTGGGAACTCATCTGATTTTGATAATGATTATTCGCACGTCTATTTTGCAATATCTGAAATGCACATTCGCACACGACAGGTCAATGATCTTCGCACGCGCTAACCGATGACGACCATATTCACGAGTCGCAGATGTCAATTCTCCGCACAACCTTGTCCAATCACAAGGGACAGGTTTGCACATTATTGTCCTTCGTGTTGCTGAGTTCTCGCACCCCACAGCGGGGACAAGGCATCATATCTTGCACTGTACTGCAATTTTGTCACGCTGGTCGGCTGGGCGGCGTGCTAATGTGGTTAGCAATCACGCCCGAGCTTGGCCAGCACGCAGCTCCTCTTCTTCAGTTGGCAAGTGTTTTGTGATTGGTTTGCACAGCTCCCCTGGTATAGTTTCCACCGCAGTCTCAATATGCATGGGTGCCCTGTCCCCACGCCTCTGTGGCAGAATGATCTAATGATGGCTGGTGGTTGCCCAAGACACTCTCACGCATTCCAGCCAAGTTCAGATCAGGCCTGAACATGGCAATTGCCTGGGACTTATTATATAATCGGTCCGTAAACACCTGGCGACTCACAGACAGGGAAACACGTTAACCTGGACAATTGCACCGTCGACATAGCTCACATAATTTTCCTTTGCCCCGCCCTGCCATGAAAGCGTCCCGATGCGACTGAAGCCTCTCATACGCATACATTCCTGTTTGTCCTATGTGAGGTTGTGTGCACCATGGCGCCGCGAAACCATGCACACGTCCTTTTTTGGACTGGTCGGGCATGCCACGCCGAGGTCGCATGCACGTCTCAAACGACTACAGTTTCGGATCGAATACTTGTCGGGATAATGGCAGCTCGTCACAGTGCACTTCGGCTTACACCCGCTCGATACAACGGATGGCATTCCAATCATCCTATCCTTTTTCATGCCCCCCTTGCCTTCTAGTTATTACCTTCTGAATCCCCTAGGCGTTTCAATATAATGCCTGCTTCTATCTTAATTTGCACGCTTCCACTACCCCACCGATTCATTGAATCAGTGTCCCCAGCATGTCGAACGTGTCTCCGAAAGTGCGCCAGTGGATCTCCCTGAATACACTAAAGGGGGTGGGGGGGTTCCAGAACCCCCCCGCCCTCCCCCCCCTCCCTTGAAGGGGAGGGGGGGGCCCGGCCCCCCCCCCCCCGTTTTGGCGCTGAAAGGGGGGGGGGGTCGGAACCCTCCCCCCCCCCTCCCCCCTTTGCGCCGGAAAGGGAGCCGGGGAGGGGGGGCTTCTCTCGCTTCTCCTTTCTGCGCCAGAGAAGGTGGGTAGGGAGTAGGGAGTAGGGAGTAGGGAGTAGGGAGTGGTTAGTAGTGAGTAGTGAGTTAGTGCGTAGTGAGTAGTGAGTCTTGGGTAGCGAGTAGTGGGTAGTGAGTGGCGAGTAGGGAGTAGGGAGTAGGGAGTGGTTAGTAGTGAGTAGTGAGTTAGTGCGTAGTGAGTAGTGAGTCTTGGGTAGCGAGTAGTGGGTAGTGAGTGGCGAGTAGGGAGTAGGGAGTAGGGAGTGGTGAGTAGTGAGTAGTGAGTTAGTGCGTAGTGAGTAGTGAGTCTTGGGTAGCGAGTAGTGGGTAGTGAGTGGCGAGTAGGGAGTAGGGAGTAGGGAGTGGTGAGTAGTGAGTAGTGAATAGTGAATAGTGTGTACTGATAAGTGAGTAGTGAGTGGCGAGTAGTTAGTAGTGAGTAGTGAGTAGCGGGTAGTGAGTAGTGAGTACTGGGTAGGGAGTAGGGAGTAATGAGTAGTGGGTAGTGAGTAGTGGATAGTGAGTAAAGGGCGGCAAGTAGTGATTAGTAAGTAGTGAGTAATGGGTAGTGCGTAGTGCGTAGTGAGTAGTGAGTAGTGAGTAGTGAGTAGTGAATGGTGAGTAGTGAGTAGTGAGTAGTGACTAGAGAGTAGCGACTACTGAGTAGTGAGACGAGAGTAGTGAGTAGTGAGTAGTGAGTACTGAGTACTACGTAGTGCGCTGTGAGTAATGAGTAGTGAGTAGTGATGAATAGAGAGTAGTGGGTAGTGGCAGTGGGTAGTGTGTAGTGAGTAGCGAGTAGGGAGTAGCGAGTAGTGAATAGTGAGGAGCGACTAGGGCGTAGTGAGTAGTGAGTAGTGAGTAGTGAGTACAGAGTAGTCAGTAGTGAGTAGTGGGTAGTGCTTAGTGAGTAACGACTAGGGAGTAGCGAGTAGTGAGTAGCGAGTACTGAAGTGAGTAGTGAGTAGTGAGTAGGGAGTAGGGAGTTGGGAGTAGCGACCGGTGGGTAGTAAGAAGTGGGTAGCGAATCGTGGGTAGTGAGTAGCGATTAGTGAGTAGTGAGTAGTGGGTAGTGAGTAGTGACTAGTGACTAGTGACTCGTGACTGTGACTAGTGACCAGAGACCTATGTAGTGACTAGTGAGTAGGGAGTAGTGAGTAGTGAGTAGTGAGTAGCGGGGAGTGAGTAGTGTGTATTGAGTAGCGAGTATGGGAGTAGCGAGTAGTGAGTATTGAGTACTGTGTAGTCAGTATTGTCTAGGGAGTAGGGAGTAGGGAGTAGCGAGTAGCGAGTAGTGGGTAGTGAGTAGTGATTTGTGGGCAATGAGTAGTGAGTAGTGAGTAGTGGATTAGTTGGTAGTGGGTAGTGAGTAGTGATTAGAGAGTAGTGAGTAGTGAGTAGTGAGTAGTGGGTAGTGCTTAGTGAGTAGTGAGTATTGAGTAGTGGGTAGTGAGGATTGAGTAGTGAGTAGTGAGTAGGGAGGAGGGAGTGGTGAGTAGGGATTAGTGAGTAGCGAGTAGTGGGTGGTGGGTAGTGAGTAGTGGATAGTGAGTAGTGAGTCGTGAGTAGTCAGTAGGGGGTAATGAGAAGTGAGTAGCGAATAGCCAGTAGTCAGTAGTGGGTAGTGAGTAATGAGTAGTGGGTACTCTTTGGGGCTGGGGTTAGTGGTTGGGGTTCGGGTTAGGGGTTTCGGTTAGGGGTGAGGACTAGGGGTAGGGGTGGCGGGGGTCGGGTTCCGGAGTCAGGGGCGGCGTGGCGAAAGGGGGGGGGGGTGCGGCCAAAGGGGGGGAGGGGGGGCCGCTCTTTGAAAGGGGGGGGGGGTCCCCGACGGATCGGGGAAAGGGGGGAAGGGGGGGGGGTCCCCGACGACGGATCGGGGAAGGGGGGGAGGGGGGGGGTCCCCGACGACGGATCGGGGAAGGGGGGGGGTCCTAACCCCCCCCCTTGGGGAGATCCAGCGGCGCACCCTCTACTCCGTTCCCTCTTCAAACCACCCGCCAATTCACAGGCAGCGCACCATAGCCGCAGCACAGGAGCGCTGCTCCAGCTGGATAGCAGACGGTGGGTCATCAATTACAAAGCACGAGCAGAGAAACATATGACCGTTCCCCCCGTACGTTACACCTCTGCGAACAATGGCAGTATTGAGATGATTCCGCCATCGAGCAATGGGTTAGGTCCCGTAGGATGACAGAATCCGCAGTTTCTTTTTAATCAACGGGATGTTCATGTTCCGCACCTGCATCTCACAAACGAACTACGGATTCGATGCATCGCGCGCTTCACGTGGGTTGTCCCGTGGGTTGTTCTGTGGTTGTCCCGCGGGTTGTCCCGTGGGTTGTTTAGTGGTTGTCCCGTGGGTTGTCTTGTGATTGTTCGTGGGTTTTTCTGTGGTAGTCGCGCGGGTCGTCCCGTGGTTGTTTTGTTGTCATTCCGTCGGTTGTCCCGCGTTTGTCGTATGCGTTATCTCGCGAATGTCCCGTGCGTTGTCGAGTTCGTTGTCCTGTGGTTGTCCCGTTGATGGCCCGTGGGTTGTTTCGTGATTGCTTCTTTTTGTGTTTTGTGGGTTGTGCCGCGTTTTATCCCGCGGTTATTCCGCGGGTTGTTATTCCGTGGGTTGTTTTGTCCTGAGGTTGCTTCGTGGTTGTCCCGTTTGTTGTTTCGTAGGTTTTCGGGCTGTTGTCCCGTGGGTTGTCCAGCGTGTTGTCCCGTGGCCGTCGCGGGTTTCTGTCCCTTGGTTGTCCCGTGGTTGTCCCGCGATTTCCCCGTGTGTTGTCCGATGAGTTTCCCCATCGTGCTCATTTGCAAGTGATGTAACAATCGACATGCACATTCTCACGTAGGTATGCAAATCGAAGTTCACAGTGAACTGCAATCGGCATGCAAGTCACACTTGACATTGCAATGCACATCGAAATTCACTTCGAATGTCCATCGACATGCAAGTCATCAGGATCATTTAGTTGCAAATTGGTATGCGTTTGACACGTCGTCCAATTACATTTGAAAGGTATGCCGCGATGCAACTCGCAATGCGTAAGCAATCATGAGCGCGCTTCGAGTCCTTCGATTCAACAGCATTGGATGCTCGTTTCCACTGCGTTCGCGTGAAGTCGTGCATCAGGAACGAGACGGATGATGGGGCACAGGTTGAGCAGAGAGGATGATGAGAAGGACGAGGAGGAGGATGGTGAGGAGGTGAAGGAGACAGGGAGTGGGATAATAATGAAGATGCTTTGGCTATTGGGGCAGGGCGGGTTCATTGTGGGGCCTTCTTGGCCAGTGCTTGGTCGCTCTCCTGGGGCTGTCTTGTGGGCTTTTTGTGGCCCTCTTGGTCCGCCTTGGTAACCATGGAGCATGGAGGTTAAATTTGTTGTTTCGGTGGTCTCTTAACTGTTCTTGTCCTCTCTGGAAACATCATTGGGCCATCTTGGGGCCGCCCTGGGCAGTGTCATAAGGTCAGGGGTCTCTCTTTGACTGGTAGAGGGTCCTCTTGAGCACTCATGAGGACTTGGTACGCTTGGAAAAAATGCGCACTGAAGAAGCGAAAGTCAGTTCGGCTCTTTGGTCGTCAGAATTCTCTCGTGGAGCCTGTGGGGCTTCTCGTGCGCTCCTGGTGGCCGCTCGAATCGCCTCAAGGCACACTGGGCCGTCCTGGCGGCCACCCGTAGCCCTCTTTGACCTTGTGGACGGCATCTTGTCGTTCTCTTGGGCGCCAAGGTGCGCGCCGCTCACGGCTATGATACCCCGGCGACCAAGAGGGAGGCCTGGGGCATCAGTGGACTGGGCTGTAGGATAACGAATGAGCGACAGAAGAAAACGGGGTCGTCCGCGCCGACATCGGCGCGTAAGCTGCCCGCGTAAGGTCGCGCGTAGGTACCCTCGCGTCCAATGTAGCGTGCCGCGCTGGCGGCCCGCGTAAGCCACCGCGTAAGGTCGCTAGGCCAGCCGCGTGAGACTCGTGCCTTTTCGTCGCTCAAATGCATGAAGATCAATTTTCGGAGGCCCGCGCGGACTTCTCGTGCCGGCGCTGGGCCCCACTTGGCGGCGCCTCTGGCGCCGCTCCTGGAGCGACAGGGGAGGAGGGAGGTCCAGCGCCGACCCAGGGAAGCCGCGTGGGCCTCCGAAAAGTAGTGCTCCGCATCGAGCCGCATCGCAGATGCATCGGCGATGCGGCGCGATTGTCCGACCTTATCTGCTCGGGTCCGATTTCGGAGGCCTCTATAGAAAAGCTCCGCCCCCCCCTCCCCCCAACACACAACCGGCATTTATTTGATTGTCCAGAGTGTTTGCCAAACAGTTCTTGCCCGTTCGGTCACTCTCTTTTTGGGTACATTGGGCTAGAGGGTGCTAGTTTGGACAAGGGGCAGACATCTCCCATGCCTGTGCCCAAGGGGCCAGCGGATCACGTTGTTGCCGAGCCGGCAGTGGAACTACCCGCTGAGGAGCAGAAGCCCGCTGATGAGCAGGAATCCATATGGACAACGATGCAAAGAACCGCCGATGAACAGGCGACTGTAGCTGACTCCAAGTTCGAAGGAAGCTCGAAATTGTGCAAGGCGTGGTGCGCGTTTGGCCTGCAGCCGTGGAACGTCAAGTGCGGCTTGAGCGAGTGCGCGGCTTGCGCCTCCTGCAAGACGTTACCCGGGGAGGCGAGCCCAGACTCAGAGGAGCCGAAGCAGACCGAGGAGCCGGGTGCCGCCAGCGAGCAGGAGGGGCGTCCGGAAGCAGCTCAGGTGCCTGCCGAGGCAGCGGTGACGCCGCTTGCCGCCAGCGAGCAGGAGGCAGCCACCCAAGGCGATGCCGCTCAGGAGCAGGGGTCCGCCGAAGAGCCTCGGGAGCAGAAGCCGTCGGAGGAACAGAGGCTGGCCGAGGCGGCCACGCAAGAGCCTGCCGAGGGGCAGGAGCCCGCTGAGGAGCAGGCAACCTCGGCGGACTCCAAGTCCTGCAAGATGTGGTGCATGTTCGGCCTGCAGCCGTGGAACACCAAGTGCGGCCTGAGCGAGTGCTCGGCGTGCCTCCGGTGCAAGAGCCTCTCGGGGACGACGAGCCAGGGCTCGGAGGAGCCGAGGCAGCCCGAGGAGCAGAGTTCCGCCGGCGAGCAGGAGGCGCCCAGCCACAACGACACCAACCAGCCCCCCATGTCGGAGCCGGATGTGGAGGAGGCCCTGAACCCGGCTGCGGGAGCTGAGGAGACTCAACCGCAGGTCGGGGAGGCGAAGCCTGCAGCCTCCGGTTCAGAGGAGCCTGGGGCGGCGGAAGTCACGCAGCCGATCGAGATCGACGAGGCCGATATCGAGAACTCCCTGGATCCCTCCGAGCAGGAAGACCAGAGCCGGGCCGACGAGCAGAAGCCCGCCGAGAAGGAGCAGTCTTTGGGAGCTCAGAGCTCTAGCGAGGCAGGGGTGCAGGGGTCTGCCGAGGCCGTGGCGGCAACGCCTGCCGAGGAGCAGCTCGATGAGGAGCTGGCGGCTGCGGCGGGCTCCAAGACCGCAGGAGGCCCGAGGGCGTGCAAGATGTCGTGCAAGCTCGGCCTGCGGCAGTGGAAGACCAAGTGCGCTTTGACCGAGTGCGCGGGCTGCCTCCGGTGCAGCGGCCTGCCCGGGACGACGAGCCGAGACCCCGAGGAGGCGGAGCAGGCCGAGAAGCAGGGTCCTTCCGGCGAGCAGGAGGCGGCCGACCAAGGCGATGCCGCTCAGGAGCAGGGGTCCTCCCAGGAGCCCCAGGCGACACAGGGCAGCGACGCCGGCGCAGCTCAGGTTCGGGTGCTGGGACAGACAGAAGTTAACGGGCGAAGAACGGTGTGACGTACACTTTTTCGCTGTCGGGGGCGCCGGCTGGAAAGTTTATACCCTTGCGGTGGCACGTCAAGGTATAAACTTTCCAGCCGCCCTGGGGCAGCGCCCCCGGTGACGGAACAGTTTATTCTATACCGTTCTTCGCCCCCTAGAGATGTGTCCCTGGCCCAAGTTGTCCCCAGGCTTCGGGCCGTCTTTGAGCCTCGGGCGTCCGTTCTGGGTCCCGTCTGGGGCCGTCTGGGGCCGCCAGGGCCTCTCCCTGGCAGCCCTGGAGACAGCTTGTGCCACGACCGCTTCTGTCGACACCCGACAGGTGTCGGACGACGCTGCCGAGGCGGAGTTGCGGCCTCTGGAGGATCAGAAGTCTGCCGAGCCAGCGGTGCAATCTCCCGCCGAGGAGCAGATGCCTCTGGAAGCTCAGGGTTCTGGCAGTGCAGAGGGGCAGGAGCCCGCCGAGGCATCGGTGGAAAAGCCCGCCGAGGAGCAGGAGCCCACCGAGGAGAGCGTGGCTGCGGCGGGCTCCAAGTCCGAAGGAAGCCCGGCGGAGTGCAAGATGTGGTGCATGTTCGGCCTGCAGCCGTGGAACACCAAGTGCGGCCTGAGCGAGTGTTCGGCTTGCCTCCGGTGCAAGGACCTGTCGGGAGCGACGAGCCAGGGCTCGGAGGAGCCGAGGCATCCCGAGGAGCAGAGTTCCGCCGGCGAGCAGGAGGCGCCCAGCCAGGGCGATGACAGCAATGCGGCAGATGCGGAGGAGTCCCTGAAGCCAGCTGCGAGCGCCGAAGAGGCGCAGCCGTTGAAGGAAGAGGCGAAGCCCGAGGCTGCCAAGGAAGGGCCGACGGCGGCGGATGCCACGGACACCACGGAGGACGAAGAAGATATGGAGAAGTCCCTGGCTCCGCCAGCTCAGGAGCAGGGGTCCGCCGAAGAGCCTCGGGAGCAGAAGCCGTCGGAGGAACAGAGGCTGGCCGAGGCGGCCACGCAAGAGCCTGCCGAGGGGCAGGAGCCCGCTGAGGAGCAGGCAACCTCGGCGGACTCCAAGTCCTGCAAGATGTGGTGCATGTTCGGCCTGCAGCCGTGGAACACCAAGTGCGGCCTGAGCGAGTGCTCGGCGTGCCTCCGGTGCAAGAGCCTCTCGGGGACGACGAGCCAGGGCTCGGAGGAGCCGAGGCAGCCCGAGGAGCAGAGTTCCGCCGGCGAGCAGGAGGCGCCCAGCCACAACGACACCAACCAGCCCCCCATGTCGGAGCCGGATGTGGAGGAGGCCCTGAACCCGGCTGCGGGAGCTGAGGAGACTCAACCGCAGGTCGGGGAGGCGAAGCCTGCAGCCTCCGGTTCAGAGGAGCCTGGGGCGGCGGAAGTCACGCAGCCGATCGAGATCGACGAGGCCGATATCGAGAACTCCCTGGTTCCCTCCGAGCAGGAAGACCAGAGCCGGGCCGACGAGCAGAAGCCCGCCGAGAAGGAGCAGTCTTTGGGAGCTCAGAGCTCTAGCGAGGCAGGGGTGCAGGGGTCTGCCGAGGCCGTGGCGGCAACGCCTGCCGAGGAGCAGCTCGATGAGGAGCTGGCGGCTGCGGCGGGCTCCAAGACCGCAGGAGGCCCGAGGGCGTGCAAGATGTCGTGCAAGCTCGGCCTGCGGCAGTGGAAGACCAAGTGCGCTTTGACCGAGTGCGCGGGCTGCCTCCGGTGCAGCGGCCTGCCCGGGACGACGAGCCGAGACCCCGAGGAGGCGGAGCAGGCCGAGAAGCAGGGTCCTTCCGGCGAGCAGGAGGCGGCCGACCAAGGCGATGCCGCTCAGGAGCAGGGGTCCTCCCAGGAGCCCCAGGCGACACAGGGCAGCGACGCCGGCGCAGCTCAGGTTCGGGTGCTGGGACAGACAGAAGTTAACGGGCGAAGAACGGTGTGACGTACACTTTTTCGCTGTCGGGGGCGCCGGCTGGAAAGTTTATACCCTTGCGGTGGCACGTCAAGGTATAAACTTTCCAGCCGCCCTGGGGCAGCGCCCCCGGTGACGGAACAGTTTATTCTATACCGTTCTTCGCCCCCTAGAGATGTGTCCCTGGCCCAAGTTGTCCCCAGGCTTCGGGCCGTCTTTGAGCCTCGGGCGTCCGTTCTGGGTCCCGTCTGGGGCCGTCTGGGGCCGCCAGGGCCTCTCCCTGGCAGCCCTGGAGACAGCTTGTGCCACGACCGCTTCTGTCGACACCCGACAGGTGTCGGACGACGCTGCCGAGGCGGAGTTGCGGCCTCTGGAGGATCAGAAGTCTGCCGAGCCAGCGGTGCAATCTCCCGCCGAGGAGCAGATGCCTCTGGAAGCTCAGGGTTCTGGCAGTGCAGAGGGGCAGGAGCCCGCCGAGGCATCGGTGGAAAAGCCCGCCGAGGAGCAGGAGCCCACCGAGGAGAGCGTGGCTGCGGCGGGCTCCAAGTCCGAAGGAAGCCCGGCGGAGTGCAAGATGTGGTGCATGTTCGGCCTGCAGCCGTGGAACACCAAGTGCGGCCTGAGCGAGTGTTCGGCTTGCCTCCGGTGCAAGGACCTGTCGGGAGCGACGAGCCAGGGCTCGGAGGAGCCGAGGCATCCCGAGGAGCAGAGTTCCGCCGGCGAGCAGGAGGCGCCCAGCCAGGGCGATGACAGCAATGCGGCAGATGCGGAGGAGTCCCTGAAGCCAGCTGCGAGCGCCGAAGAGGCGCAGCCGTTGAAGGAAGAGGCGAAGCCCGAGGCTGCCAAGGAAGGGCCGACGGCGGCGGATGCCACGGACACCACGGAGGACGAAGAAGATATGGAGAAGTCCCTGGCTCCGCCGGAGGTCCTGGCCACTGGAATGTGATTCGAGCTCTAGGTGCCAGGAGAGGCCACTGAAAGAAAGGCATGGATGCCCAGGAGAACATATGCCCAGACCCAGTGTCCTGGCGGAGAAGAACATCACTGACAGGCACCCAACGTTTCCTGGGTGTTGTTGTGTTGACGTGGTGGCGTACTGGTTGCTCGAGCTATCAATTGCTGCGCCCGCGGCGACACGAAGTGGTTGCGGAGCAGGTGAAGCCAGCGTCAGGTGCAGCAGAAGCTTTCGCGAGGGTGCTCTGCTGTTTTGCGAAAAGGCGTGACCGTCACTCTCCGAACGTGTCTGCTACCACTAACACACACGCGCACTTGCGTGCGACGCTGGCGCGCGCACGGTGACGATGCAGCGAAGTAACACGGTGGGCGTGCCACACGCGCGCTAGAGGCTACGAGCAATGAAGATCATAAGTTGGAATTCTTGGTACTTCACGTGTCCCTACCAGCCCATCCAGCAACGATGCCCAGGCAAAGAGCCTTGATCAGGGAAGTGAGGGAGCATGCAGTGCAACAAAGAGCTGGGGAAGCTGTCAGACCGACGAATGGGATTAGCCTGAGCAGGCCCAGGAGTGAAACACATGTGCCTTCGCGGACCTGTCGAACAAGGATGGGCGGAGAAATGGAGAGGCTGGAGAAGCAAGAGGGGGAACAGGAGGAGGAGGAGGAGGAGGAGGAGGAGGAGGAGAAGGAGGAGGAAGGATGATGGAGGAGTGGGAGCAGGAGGACGAGGAGGAAGGCGAGCAGAAGGCTGGGAGCTTGATTAAACACGTTCTTCTTTTACTTTTGGTAAACCCTGGCTGGGACGAGGAGGAAAAGGAGGAGGAGTAGGAGGAGGAAGAGGAGGAGGGTAGAGGACGAAGAGGACGAGGAGGAGGAGGAGGAAGAGGAGGAGGAGGAGGAGGAGGAGGGGGAGGAGGAGGAGGAGAAAGAGGAGGACGATGATGATGATGATGATGATGATGATGATGATGATGATGATGATGATGATGATGATGATGATGATGATGGTGATGATGATGCTGATGATGATGATGATGCTGATGCTGATGATGGTGATCATGACGATGACGATGTCGATGATGATGCTGATGCTGCTGATGATGGTGCTGATGATGATGGTGATGACGACGATGCTTATGATGATCTTGATAACAACGACGATGGCGATAACGATGATGGTGATGATGACGATGACGACGATGATGACGATGATGCTGATGATGATGATGATGATGATGATGATGATGATGATGATGATGCTGATGATGATGATGGTGATGATGAGGATGCTGATGAGGATGCTGATGATGCTGATTCTGATGATGATGCTGCTGCTGATGATGCTGCTAATGATGCTGCTGGTGATGATGCTGATGATTATGATGACGAGGAGGAGGCGGAGGAAGAGGGCCATCTTGGGCCATCTTGGAAGCTTCAACGCCTCGCGGGTCCCCGTCCAGACCTACGGGGAGGGGGGAATGGGGTATGGGTCAAGCTACCCCAAGCCGCAAGCCGTGTGGCTCACTCGCACCCGCCTTCTCGTTACTCTTATAGGGATCTTTTTGGAGCGATCTCGGATGACCTCCAAGATGGCCCAAGAAACGAAATTATTGAAACACGGCGGCCGTTACGACCTGTGCCTGCCCGTCGCCTGGCACTCCGGCACAGTCAACAGGTCGGTGAAGTCGACCCTCGCTGCCGAGGGCTACGCCACCCTCGAGGGATCGGAGACCAACATCTGGTCCGACAGCAGCCGACCGAGGCCCCAAGACGGCGCTCAAGCATATCGACGTGCTCGCCGACAAGCGCCCGGGGGAGATCTACAGCGACAGCAAGGGTCTCGTGACGCACATCGCTTCAGATGTGGGCCAGTCGACCGACAAGCGGTTCCGCATCGTCGCCTCCATGATCAAGGAGGCCGTGCACCCCAACAGTGCGCTCAAGCTCAGCTGGATCCCGACCTGGGTCATGGTCGCGGACGCCTTGACGAAGGCGATGGAGGGGGGCGTCCTGCTGTCGTTCTTCGGGGCCCGCAAGTACAGCTACGGGACCTGGCAGCCGCATGCCGCCATGCTCGCCTCAGTCCTGTTTACCTGCCTCGGCAAGGTCAAGGGACAGCCTACGCCTGCGCCGACGGTGCCGGACTACAGCTTCTACATCTGCCTGCTGACGTTCACGCTGGTCCTCGGCATGACTATCGGTTTCGGCATCTTCGTGGCGCTCTGGGCGATCATGAGGCAGAACAGCCTGGTCGCTACCGAGGAGCGCGTCACCGAAGCGAAGGCAATGGGCGAGCATCCCGGCTGGGGCGGCCGCGTGATTGGCCGGCGCCGTAACATGTCAGCTACAATCCCCGAGGATCGTGATTACGACGGCGACATCACGATGTACCCCTCGGATCGACACAGCAGTGCGCAGGCATCGAGTTCATCAGCATCGGCTTCAGGCGTCTCTTTCGGACACCACCCATCGCAGCCGCCGATATCAGCACCGCCGCCGCCATTGTTGCCGCGGGAACCACCGCCTGCCAGCGCGCCACCTACCGCAACATCAGCACGATCGAGGTCAGCGAGATTTCGAAGTTCGGGTTCAGCCCCTACCTCACCAAGCATAATCACCGTATCGAAGTCATCGAGTTCAGTACCTGCGAGTGTGGTTTCGTGGAACGGATCCTCACCGACGGTTTCGTCGAACGAGATGATCATCTGTGTGACCGCCGTCCCCCGCCATGATTTCAGAATCGGGCATAACCCGCCTAGCGTCTACATTACCTGCATGACCTGCAGAGGGGCTCGTCATGGCTTCTCCGGTTCTACAGGGACAGCAGTCCCGATTTCACGAACTTCCCCGAAGGCGTGATGAATGATCTCATGGGTCATTGGAGGAGGCTCACCGGCAGAGACTGCTGGCGCGGACCTGACTTGATGGACAAACCGACGAAGCCCAAAAAGGAAAGATGAGTCCCGCTTGGTATACGGACGGCAGGTTGGCCGGTCGAACCAGCAAATGTTCTGCCGCCGTTGCTATATACGGTCGCCTATTGCGACCCCGCTTACGTAAGTCAGCATTGCTGCTTTGTTTTCGCACCCAGCTAGAGTTTTATGTGAGTCCGCATCGTTGCTCTGTCTTTCACACTCGGCTACTTACACGTAGGTCCGCAGTGTTGCTCTGTTTTCATACCCGGCTTTTTACACGTAGATCCGCATGTAGAGATGCTCCATTCAGTGCGCACAAGTTTTGTTTCGATGATGTGATGACGATCGCACCCTTTCACATCTTATCACGATAAGATAGCCTTTTGGGGGTAATGTCGCTTCGCGATCGGACCGTTGTCATCGCTAGCGTTGCTGGTTTTTGATTCGGCCCGACGGCGCTGAGAGCTGAGAATGTCCTGCAGGTCGCGTTTAGCGCATCCGCTTAAGTGCCCAAGGGGCTGCCTGCTATGCTAGCCGTGTCAGGCCGTTTGCCTGCCTTTGCTGCCGCCGCCGCTGTTTCAGAATTATCTCGATAATTCGTTCCGTGTAATGAGGCGAGAGAAGATATGCCCGTCTCCCTCAGGCCGCTGCGAGCGCCGTCGAAAGCCGTGCAGGAGGAGAGTGATTCCTGGCGGTTTCTCGCTCTTAATCCCCGCTTCCTCTCCTCAGCTGCTCTCTGCCGCCGCTCAATTGGCCACGATTATTTTCCAGGGCCCTTGGCCGATTGAGCTGCGAGTCCGCTTTGCGAGCGTGCTACAAACGATAGATCCGCGATCTTCCATATCACATAGTGTACTCGTCTGGTGGCAAGTCGAGAGTGGCGGCTGCCCGCGCCTGGAGTGGGCTGCCCACGTCCGCCAGACGGCTTGCGGAGTTCACGCGGGCCTTGCTCTCTGGCGGGGCACCGTGGAGGGCCATCGCGCGCGGGTTAATTCGGGCGTGGATCTTCGTCATGTCGTCGGGCTGTGACTAGAGCGTGGAGGGTCGCTGCGTTGCTGTCCAACCCTGTAGGGCTGCATCTGGTATGGGCGCTTGGCGACCCGGTGCCACTTTTCGCCGGGCGCAGGAGCTGCGTGTGGGAAGTCCTGGAGTCCTTGGTGCAGGGTCTCCTTTTCCTGGCGTCGATGACGACGATGGTGCCGTTGGCGGGGTGCCTGTTCCTTGGCGCGCCGTCTGCTATCCACCCTGGGGGCGGTGGCCAGATGGGCGCAATTTTCACTGAGGGGACCGGTGATGGGGTGGTGCCAGCAGCCCATGAGTGAGATGTTCTTGTTCCTCTTTGACCCAGTCGATGCGCCAGTCACCTTCCCAGGTAATGATGTGGTGCTCCCACTCCTTGTGGTCGCTGAGTCAGTTCTAGAGGTGCCGCCCCTTCGCGACAGGGTGTGGGGGGGGGCCGCGGGATGTACCTCTGGACGGCATGTCACGTGCCTTGAGGGAGACGTCGTCCTCTGGTTCGAATCCGGCCATGAGCTCGATCTCATCGGTCTTATATGGCGTCCATCCCTTGGCTCGCAGCTCCCATTGCCACCTGGTGGGCAGGTCCGGGGCAGCGGGCGCGGGCCCGACGGGGAGCTGCATGGGCTGCATGGTGGGGGCGCGCCAGAGGCGCGTGTACATTTCCCGTGTAGCACGTGCGGCGCAAAGGTTGGGAGGGCCGCCGTCAGCGGCGTCAGGCCCCGGCAGGTCGAATGAGTGGGGTGCCGGCGTGCCTGGCTCGCCGAAGGGGTCGCCTTCTGGGGCGTGGAAGATTTCAGGGCGCGCGCCAGTAGGGGGCGCCTGGGGGTGGCTGGCGGCGCCGCCAGCGCTGGGTGCTGATTCTGACAAGTACATAGGGGCCCGGATGGCTAGTCCTCATGGCTCCGTGCGTTTGGGCCCCGTCCCTGCCTTGCTCGGGGGGGGCTCGTCGCCGCAATTCGTCCAGGGAGGGCGCGCCGCGTCGATGGTCTTGCCTGTGCTGGCGGGGGGCACCCGCCCGGTGGGGGCGTTTGCGGGGGGTGGCGTAAGGGGGCAGCATCCCAATCGCCATGCGCGATGTCCCACAGCTGCACCTCGACTCCATCCGCCCTGGGTGCTGCTTGGCAGCCCCGCCGTCGCGGATGCGGCCCCGTGCCTTGCTGGGTCCGTCCCGGTCCATGGTGCGTCGGGGACACCTCCGGCCCAGTTGTGGATGGCCTTCTTGTGGTCTTTCGGTTCAAAGTGCGACTTGTCTTGACGAATGTGTTGTCGAGCTCGCAATGCCATCGGCCGCCGATGATCCTTGGTCCTGGCCCATCTCATGAGAGGGCACCGCCGACATTGAACGCGAGGCTTCTTCCCAGGGCTCGCACAAGGGCCGCGGGGGTCGGGGGCGAACGC